GTTTCTTTTGATTGTTGAGTTGTAAGAGTATTTTAGAATTTTTGGATACCAGTCCTTTGTCAGATATATGATTTACAAAAATGTTCTCCTATTCTCTTGGGTTGTCTTATCATTTTCTTGATGGTGTCCTTTGAAGTATGGAAGTTTTTATCATGTAATCCAATTTATTTATTTATCTATTTTTTCTTTTATCACTTGTGCTTTTGTTGTGAGGAACCTATTTCTTAACCCAAAGTCTATAGATTTACTCCTTTGTTTTCTTCTAAGAGTTTCATAGTTTTACATTTAAGTATATATCCCTGTAGAGTTTATTTTTGTATATGGTATGAGGCATGGGTTCGAACTTTCTTCTTTTGCATATAGTACTTCAGAATGTTCATGGAAAATGGAGTTAAAAGATAGTACAGTCTTTCTTTCTTTTTTTTTTTTTTTTTCCTTTTTTTTTTCTTTTTTCGGGACCGGCAACGGATCACAACCCTCAGTGTCACGCCCGTACCGGACCGGGACCGGCAACGGGATCACAACCCTTGGTGTTGCTCCTGCACCTTGCTCAGTGAGTGAGCGGCCGGTCTGTATGTGGGATCTGAACCCTCAGTGGGAGTGCCGCCGCGCTCTCAAGCGGCACACTGTAGCAGTGTGCCACCGGGCCGGCCTGATAGTACAGTCTTTCAATGAACTTTTTGAAGATAACTCATGTAGCTTAGATTTGACTTTTATTTTGGGACCCTACTAAATGCAATTAATATAGTCTTTTGTGAGTGACTTCTTACATTCATGAGATTCATCTATGTTATTGTGTGAAACATTAGTTCAGTCTCATTGGTGTTAAATCATTGCAAGCATTTAAAAGATTTATTCATCCATTCTGTAGGTGATGACATTTGGTTATTTCCATTTTGGCTAGTACAGATAAGGCTGCTGAGAACATTCTCATATGTCCAGGTGTACATAAGCAGGCAGTCTCTTGGTTGTGTGCATTGAAGTAGAATATTTAGGGATCCTAGGATATTCGTATATGAGGATACTCCAAAAAGTTCATGGAAAAAATGGAATTAAAAAATAATGCAATTTTTCTGTGCACTTTTTGAAGATCCTTTGTATAATATTCAACTTTAGAAGACTGGGTGAAACTTTTCCACGTTGTACCAATTTACACTCCCTCTAAATTGTACTGAATTAACTCCCATGTAAGAGTTTTTGTTGCTGCACATTCTTATGAACACTTGATATTGTCAGTCTTTTAATATGATGTATAGTCATGCACCATATAACAATGCTTCTGTCAGTGAGGAGCTGCATATGTGACAGTGGTCACATAAGATTATAATGGAGTTGAAAAATTTGTACCGCTTAATACATTGTAGCCATGGTAATGTCATGGTGCAACACGTTTCTTATTCGTAAACAAACCTACTGCAAAATATGTTGAGGAAGAGTGCCTAGCTTACCCACTGGGTGACCCTGCCAAAGGTAGCTCATATTTTTAAGATAGAAAGACAAGCATTTCACACATTAGATCTAACCCCAAGTAAAAGGGTTGTTGTCTGCTTTAGAATTCTTGCATTTTTAAATGATTCTCGCCCATCCCCATAGTAAAGTAATAGTTAATAACAATTAGCTAACTGTATTAGTCAGGGTTCTCCAGAGAGACAGAGTCAACAGGATATGTTATAATTATATGAGAGGGATTTATTAGGGGAATTAGCTCACGTGGCTATGAAGAAAAGTCCCATGATAGGCCATCTATAAACTGGATGCCAGTAGTGTGGCTCAGTCCAAGTCCAAAGGCCTCAGAACCAGGGAAGCTGATGGTGTCCTTGTAAGTTCTGGAACCCAAAAGCTGAAGAGTTTTGAGCTCTGATGTTCACGGACAGGAAAGGAGTGTATCGCAGCTCCAGAGGATTGAGAGAGAGAGAGCTTCACCTCTTTCCTCGGTCTTGTTCTCTCTGGACCCCCAGTGGATTGGATGGATCCCACCCACACTGAGGGTGGGTCTTTCCCACCCAGGCCACTCAGACTCTCATACTAATCTCTGCTGGAAACACCCTCATGGACACACCTGAAAAGAATGATTTACCAGGTTTCTCAGCATTCCTTCATCTAACCATGGTTGACATCTAGAATTAACCTTCATATTAACACTCACTGAGTGCTTGCTGAATGCCAGGCACAATCCCTACCTTTAATTTAATTTTCGTAACTTGGTAGAGGTGCTGGTATTCTAATTCTTATATAACAGATGAGAAATTAAGGCACAGAAAGACTTAGTAGCATAATTAGAGACCCCACGTTCATGCAACTAGTGGCCAGTGTGGATTGAGAAAATTCATTGCTGTTCCATTTCATAATTTGCTTTCTCATAACAAAGAAATCACCTAACAATGCATTTCTTGTCTCTGCATCATTAAGCCATGTGTGACTGTATTTCATTGGGTTTTAACTTACATTTGCCTGATGACCAATGAGGTTAAGCATCTTATCCTATGTTTATTGGATACTATATCAGTCGTTTATATATGGCTTAGCAAAACAATTAATTCTTCTTTACTTATAATGTTGGTGGTTGTTATGGAGCTATACTTGTTCTTGTTCTGGGAATCAGGCTTCTATTTGGGATGTGATCTTCTTGGCCCAGAGGGAGAGAGAAAAAAATTAGCAGAACTGATTGATACCTCTGAAGCTTCTGCTTATATTAAGTGTAGGTCCCAGCCATTTAAATTTAAATTTAAATTTAAATTTAAATTCCATAGGGATATTATAAGACTGTGCTCAAATGTTAGTGGGGCAGAGAGTTATCCTCCAACAGGAGGCATTGCAAGTCTCATGGCCGTGAATGGGGATGCCTAATCTTTTCTTAGGAAAAGGAGAGGGTGCAAATACTTTAGAACAGTAATACAGTCTACCACTTTATTTGTGAGATGCCTATTTAGGTCTTTGGTTGTTTTCTGTTTTCTTGACTTTTTCTTATTGATTCCTAGTACTTTTTTTTTTTTTTTTCCTTTTTCTTTGTAAGTTCTAGATATAAACCCTTTGTTGGCTATATGTATCACAGATATTTTCTGTCATTCTATGACTTGTCTTTTTACTCTCCTAATGGTGTCTTTTATTAAATAAAATTTTTAGTTTTAATGTTGTCTAGTTTATCAATATTTTTATAGTTGTGCTTTTTGTTTCTTAGTTTAAAAAATCTTTCCTAACCCTCAAGATTATGAATATATTCCTTTACTTTCCTTCTAGAGTCTTTAGTGTTTTGCCTTTTACATTTCAACCTACAATCCACCTAGAATTAAGTTTTAGTTGACTTTTTAACATACTCCTGCAAGTCTAGAAAGAGCTAAAGTGACCTCCAAGTGGTTTCTAAGATCAAATTAACTTGATTAACATAGAGACATATTAATGTTAAACTCACATATATGTAGAAGATATATTTATCTTCTAACACCAAATCCCTCATATGTGAAACCCATGTTGGCACAGTTAGAGTTTTACTGTATTTAAAAGTGTAAAAATTTACCTTCTTTGCAGTTTTAAACAATAGTATATGTAGCCCTCCCTAAGAATCCTGAGTTTTCAATACCCCCCCCTTTTAAAGTAGAATACATGGATACAGTTTATTTCCATTTTAAACAAGAATTGCTTAATTGTATTTCTATTATGCAAGCACAGTGGTAGTTTATCTTTCTTCAGCAAAGGCTGAAGTTGTTCCTTATGAAAGTGGTACAAGTGGAGGGGGTATAGCTCAGTGGTAGAGCATTTGACTGCATATTTAATGTTTAAGACTAAACATTAAATATGAGGGTTCTTCAAAAAGCTTTTGGAAGAGTAGAATTAAAAGATACTATGAGTCTTTCCATGAACACTGTTGCTATTCTATTATTTGTAGGATTGTTTGGAGATTGTTTTATTATCCAATAGACCAAAATACTCATTCTTAAAAATTCACCAAGCTAAACAAATAGTACTATTTAAAATAGGTTAGTTTTAACTTTGTATGTGGTATTCATTGTCCTTCTAAATGTAAACTTTTAAATCTTGGTAGTAGATCTTATAAATTACAATGAAAAGCTTGTCTGACTTACCTTTTAGCATTGACAGTTCAGATTTGGAATTAGGTCAAAACTATTATCTGAAAACAGTAGTTGTTTAAGAAACAGTAGATATTAAACATCATTTTGAGGATTAATGAATGAAAAATTACTGATTATAAAGAAATTGGCAAATATAGAAATGAATTGTGTCTTTGTGTTCTATTTAAACACATAGGGGCCAGCCCGTGGATCACTCGGGAGAGTGCGATGCTGATAACACCACGGCTGTGGGTTTGGATCCCTATATAGGGATGGCCGGTTAGCTCAGTGGCTGAGCGTGGTGCCGACAACACTAAGCCAAGGGCTAAGATCCCCTTACCGGTCATCTTTAACAAAATAAATTTAAAAAAATAAAAAAATAAACATATAGGTGTTGAAAAGTTAGGATTATTAGGGAGGACTACTCAAATTATTTGTATGTAAATATGTACGACAAAAACAACGTCATAATGCAATCCCCCTAAATACAGTTTTATATTTAAAACGTAACATCTTGGAGGACTGAGTTTGTAGGTGTTGAAAAGTTAGGATTATTAGGGAGGACTACTCAAATTATTTGTATGTAAATATGTACGACAAAAACAACGTCATAATGCAATCCCCCTAAATACAGTTTTATATTTAAAACATAACATCTTGGAGGACTGAGTTTGATTAGAAAGGGTTGCAAAATTATTGTTGGTATCTCTGATGGCAGTTCTTTTTTTTTTTTTTAATAACTAACAATCATGTGGATGTGTGATAATTTTCCTTACTCTGCAACTCACTTTCAGTCTGTAGATTTTCTCAAGGACTTCCCCTTAAATGACTTCGTTCTAAGATGAAGTAATATTATTAGCTTTTAATATTTTTAGTAGTAAATATACGGGCCATTCTCTAAAACTTGTTTTATTAACTGAACATTGGTTTTGCTTTTCAGCGGGGACCTGATGAGCTTCTTCCTTCTGGCATCATTAACGGACCTTTTACCATGAACAATTCTGCTCTTACAGGTATGTATAGTGAGTTTTAATTTTTTCAAAATGTTTTTTTCCCATGGATTTCAGTATTTCTTTCTACAATGTTCTTATTTTGCTCATCTTATAAATATATGTTGAATTGCCACTGTTTATAACAAAAACTAAAATTTGTTGCAGTAAAGTACCATACTGTCTACATGGATGGAATGACTAATTACAGCTTTCTTAAGTTGTAAGTCTTCATTTGGATCTAACTTGATGATTCCTTTTTTGATTGATGTTCTTCGTGATAAAAATACTGTCAGTAAGTTGGTGACCCAGAACTATTGAATAAAAGAGCTAGATTTCAAACTTGTGATGAGTGATGATAGATTTGGAATGGAAATATTAAAATTATATGACCATATGATTTTTTAAAATTGAAGTATAATTCACATATCATAAAGTACCACATGACTTAAAAATAAATGCTCTTGAAATTTGAGGGCTTTAAAATGAATTGGAGGAGTGCAGTACTGGAGGGAGAGTAAGTAGTTAAAAGGCTATTGCTGTAATCCTAATAAGGAGGGATTACAAATGGCAGTTGTGATGGAGAGAGTTGGAGAATTTACAGAAGGTAAAACTTACAGTAATTGGTAATTAGCTGAATGTTTCAGTAAGGGAGTCCATCAATGATTTTTAGGTTTTGGACTTGGGTAATTGCATAGATGAATGGTGATACTATTTATTTCTATTAGACAATATAAGAACAGAGTTGGCCAACACAGCAGGTTAAGATTTGTACAGATTGAGTTTGAGGTTCCTGTGGAATATCCAGGTGGAAATGTCAGATAGAGAGTGGTTCCTGGTCTCAACATCATGAAAGAAATTTGGTAGTCTAATGTCATACACAGTTGACAAGTGAAACCATGGGAATGGAGAGTTTCAGAGAAAGTGGGATTTTTATCCAAATGTGTTTGGAGTTACAGGAAGTTAGGGGATGAGTACCTCCCTTTCCAGACCATGAGCTTACCTGGTGTTTGGGAGAGTGAACACCCTCTATGGGAGGACTCTATAAGAGAAGTGGACCAGAGTCAGTTAAGGCAAAAAGACGAAAAGAAAATTCAGTGAAGAGATTAAGAATGTGTGGGAATTGGTCAACCATCTTTCTAAAGGACTAAGTGGAAAGATTCTGTAGACAGGACAACAGCCAGTGATTTGTTTATGTGAAAGTGTGAACAGAATAATATGGACATGAGACTAAAGCACAGCAGACTTCTCAAAATTGATCTCACATCAGAATCAACTGGAGAGCTTGTTAAAATAAAGCACAGTTGCTAAGTCCACTCCCAGAAATTCTAATTCAGTAGGTCTGGGATGGGTCCTGAGAATTTGCATTTCTACAAGTTTCCATAATGCTGATGCTGCCATTTGAGGAAACTCACTTTGAGAACTATGGCGGGGATGGGGATGGGGGTGGGG